CGATATTACTTTCATCTTATTAGAAAATATCTTATTTTTGTCTTTAAAATTTTTATTTATGTCTTTAGTCGGAACTCAAATCATATGCCTCTCAAGTGATAGATGGTACACTTGACATGAACAACGACGAGATTTTTGTGCAAGTCTTTGGACCAGAGAAACATGGGCGTGTTCGAGGTTATGGAGCCGGTGTTACTCCTTCTGAGTTGTTTGGATCATCTTTCAAAGTTCGTGATCTTGAGCGACGCCTTAACGAGTCAGAACATCGTCTTCAAGAATCTGAACGACAAAGAAAAGTTGAGGTACAAGGACTCAAATATCAAATGATTGAATTAGAAAATCGTTTTGAGCATCGATTTCAAGTAATGATGGTTGAGATGATTCGAAAAAAATCCTAAAGTAGGGGTTAGAAAATTTTATTGTTTTAGGTATTTGAAGTATTTGTATTATTTGAATCAGTTTTAGAAATACCGTGACTACCTTGTTGATTGTGTTTGCAGTAACTATGGGTTATAGTAAATAATATTTTGCTTGTGTTGAATATAGTTTTGAAATTATAAATTTTAACTATGAAAAGTAATTTAATTTTTTCAAATAAATAATATTAAATTAATATTAATTTCAAATGGTATTATTCTATTTGATTTTTTTTAAAGGATTTACCAATGTCGATAAATAACTTTTTTTAAAGGTTTAAAAATGGTTGAAGATAAGATTATGATCCTTGGAAAATGATGAAAACCTTCGAAAAAACTAATTGAAACTAACTAATTATTCACAACTAATTTAACAATTATCGAAGGCTTACAACTTTTGAAAAACATGAATTTTTGAAGGCTAATTGAAGCTTTGAAAAATATGAATTTTTTAAGGTTAATAAAATTTTCGAAAAAGCTTTTTCGACGGGACCTGTTTCGACACTTTTTGAAGGTTGAGTAAACCTTTGAAAAAACATTTATGAATGGTTAATTTTATACTTTTTCAAAGGTTATGACCTTTGAAAATACTCAATTTTCTTGTAGTGATTTTTCATTTCAAGTTTGCTTCGCTTTGCCTTTTCTCCGTGGTTTTCGTCGCTGCTGTCCACCCGTGCTCGCTGCTGGTAGCATCACCACAGTGAGTTCTTTTACATTTTATTTGAAATCGACATTATGGATCTGATTTGAAATGAATTATTGAGGTGTTTGTGTACCGATTATGACATAAATTTAATGTTTTATTGTGTTGAGATGTTGTTGACATTGATTTTTATGTGGATTGTGGGAGTAAAAAAGCAATGGAAGTGTGTTGGGTCGAATGAAATTGTACAGAAGGGAGTTGAAGTTGAAATTTGTGTAAAGTGATGATATTTGATATAATATTTATGTAGATATCATCTGACTCAAATCTAGGGATATAAATAATTACTTTTTAGATTATAGGAGATGCATGATAAACTAGAAGGATGTATTTTCATTTACTATTATTGTTTCGAAGCTTCCTAATTATGTATGCAATTGCTTAGTCTAATGTTGTATGCAATCAAAATTAATTAAAGAACCAATAATGAGCCTGCTAATTATATTACTAATCATCATGCTTTGCTAACATTTGAGAAAATGAAATATGGGTAGAAACAACCTTCCTTTCCTCTGTTTTTGTGCATGATTGAAGCTATAAGCTAAAGTATTTGTTATTAGCCAGGATGTCATTTTATTTTCATGCCTAAATGGTTTCGCGTTTGGTAGAAAAATCCGGGGGAGTAAAATAGGAAACTAAAATGTAGGACTTCCAGTTTTAATTGTAGATTAAAGAGATGAGAGGAAATAGTATAAAAAATTTTGACAGAGGAGGGAAAAGGAAAAGTTTATTAAAGCCTATCTTCTCTTGGTTTTATATATAGCAATTATAAAATTGTCTATTAAAGTTTCTCTGAGTCCTAAGGAAGAGGTTTATTGTTGAAGATGGAAGTTAAAAGACAATTGCTGTGGAAGGGAAGGGGGGAAACTAAAGTTTTCAAGATAGTTGTTAACTTGGAACTCAATATTTCGGATGATAATTAGAATAGGTATTCTTGGGTTCAATCTCTAATTTAAGTGATCAAACTTGCAGGTTGTTTTAAGAGTAGAAAAGGTTGACTTCCGTAAATAAGACTAAACTAGTAAAATTTTGAAGCAAGAAGCACCTTGTTCCAACAATTAAGAATAAAATTATGGATATTTGGTTTTAATAATTTGGATAAGAAATTTGTATAAAACTCTGCAAACTCTCTTGTAGTTAGGTTATACGTATTAAATTGAGATCTTCTTTTTGATGATTCTATATTTAAGACTTATTCATTGGGTTTACTAAAGTTCTTAACAACCATATCCATGAGGTTTTGTGAACTAATATGTTACACTTGAGCTTATGTATTGTGTTACATGATTGTTTTTTCTTTTTTTGGTTTAAATATGGTATGTGATATGATTCGATGTTAGTTTCTTATATTACTAATTAGTTAGCAAACATGTGTGATATGGATGCAAAAATGAGTTGAGAGTAAATGCTAGCATGTTTTAGTTTTACATGTTTTTTCTTTTCCTATCATTGAAATGGTGTGATGTGTGTAGATATGATAAATTTAATAAGGACCTCGTGAGGTAACAATTGATTGTTATGTTTTTATTTACTTTATAGATATTGAAGGTACCTAAATATCATAATCAAGTACCCATCGTTTTGGTATCCTTTGAATTAGGTAGCTAAGTTGTCACTATTTTGATTGTATCACAAAAGTAGTATTCTTTAAATGTTGTTTTTTTTTTTTTTGGTTATAATTCACTTTAGTTTTTAGATAAATGTAATTTATAAATAGGTAAATAACTAGAAAATATCTTATTCAACAAAAGGTTGTTTTTGTAGATAACATTCCAATGTATCGAAATTGGATAACTTTGAAGGATTGAAGATGTAGTCAATACTCTAACGGGGTCAGTAGTTTTATTGAAGTTGCTAAGAATTATTTGGATAAAGAAGGAAAAACAAGATGTCCTTGTTCGAACTGTTTAAATGTCCTTAGGAATAAATTGGATGATGTAGAACGTCATTGATTTAAATATGGTATGTCTCTGACATATAGTAGATGGACATTTCATGAAGAAACGGTAGATGTTTCTCCATTCTTAAGACTCAAATCAATGTTTCGTGAAGCTACATTTTCAAATTTGGTTAGAAATAGAGAAGATGGTAGAAATAATATTAATCAAGTGAGAGCCAGGAATAATGCTGATGAGATGCTCCAAATGATGAATAACTTGAATGTTCCAGTGTTTGAAGACATTCGCAGATAATCAAATGAGCAATATGAGACGAATGACTTTACTGAATTGTTTCACGATTTAGACAAAGAGTTGTATCCAGAATGTTCGAAGTTTACATCATTTAATTTTTTAGTGAAGCTTATGCACATTAAAGTTTTTAATCATTGGAGTGATAAATCATTTGATAAACGATGCATTTATTGATGGTGTAAGGCTTCCTAAATCAAATTATGAGGCTAAAAAAAGATTACGTGATCTAGGGATGAGATATGAACCAATTTACGTGTGTAAGTATGATTGTGCTTTATTTTGAAAAGAATATGCATCACTTGACCATTGCCTGCATTGTGGAGAGTCAAGGTACAAACTTAATAAATCAAAAGGGAAAAAAAATTCTCCATAAGGTGTTGAGGTATTTTCCATTGAAGACAAGGTTACAAAGATTATATCTTTTTAAACATATTGCTAAGGATATGACGTGACATAAGGATAAAAGGTGTGAAATTGAAGGAATACTTCGACATCCTGATGTTGTAGGTTGGAAACATTTTGATAACCAGTACCCTTATTTTGATGCAGATGCTCGTAATATGAGATAGACAATTTCTACGGATAGTTTTAACCCATTTGGAAATATGAATTTATCGTATAGTATGTGGTCAATGATACTAATTCCCTATAATTTGCCCCTTGGAAGTGTATGAAGGAATCATCTATTTTTTTTTTATCTTTACTCATCCTTGGGCCAAGGTCTCCCGATAAAGAGATTGATGTTTACCTACAACCTTTGATAGATGAGTTGTGGGTGAATGATGTCTGCATGTATATAGTTTCAGTGCCTCTTTCTTTCAACTTCATGCTGCCTTATTGTAGACAAATAACCATTTTCCAACTTATGGCGATTTGTCTGGTCGGAGGACAAAAGATTATAAGGCTTGCCCAGTTTGCAATGACGATATGAGTTCAATGAGATTAAAGAGCAAAATTTGTTTCATGGGATATCGTCGATATCTTCCTCACACACATACATGGCGTAGGAGTAGGCAGCAAGATGGAAAACAAGAATTTTGAACAGTTCCGAAGTAATTATCTAGAAATGAGATAAAAAATCAATTGAATTCATGGAGTTTTCCTACGTTGAGCAAGAATCCTATAATAGTACGTGATAATAAACATACCGCGAATAATTATCAAGCACAACTGGAGTACAAGAAACATTTTCTTTGATCTTCTGTATTGGCAAAATCTTAAGTTACGTCATAAACTTAAAGTAATGCATATTGAGAAAAACATATGTGATAATTTGATTGGTACTATATTAAATATTGATGGGAAGACTAAAGACACCATTAAAGCCCGTGAGGACTTAGCAAACTTGAAAATAAGAAAGGAACTTCACATACAGGAAATTGGAGGCAGGAGTGTGAAGCCTCATGCATCGTTCACATTAATTGCAAGTGAAAAAGTTAGTTTTTATACATTCTCAAAATCCATGAAGTTTCCAGATGAATTTGCTTCAAATATATCTCGGTGTGTCAATGCAAATGAGGGCAAGATCACAAGTCTGAAAAGTCATGATTGTCAGGTTTTATTGCAAAGGTTTCTTCCAATTGATATTTGACCATATATACGCAAAGACATTTGTACAACTATATCAGAGTTGTCAAACTTCTTTCATCATTTATGTGTAAAAACTCTACACATATCAGATTTAGACATTATGCAAACTGATATAGTGTTCATCTTATGTAAGTTGGGAAAAATCAATCTATCGGCATTTTTTTGACGTTATGGTTCATTAGCTGTCCATTTGTCATGGGAGGCAAAAATTGTTGATCATGTTGGTTCTAGTTGGATGTACCCCATTGAAAGATATGAAAATTTGCCCTTATGCATTGATTCACATTTTTTCCATTGTGGATTTTAACTTCTAAGTCATTCGCTATTTTTGTATTAGGTGTTGGGTGTGTTGTCCTAAGCTCGTAGTTTGTATTATGTAAAAACAAATGTATATTCAATAAAGTTTTATTCAATAAATTTGTTGTTGAAACATAGCATTGCATTGTCCAAATCCAATAAACTAAACATTCAAGGTTATTTTGATGTAATCGGGACAATATATATCTGGGTATATATTTGATATACCCCTGATATATGAATGGATAATGTCCCGTGAATAACCTAAAGGGTCTATAGTATATGGATAAGGCTGGGTACTTTATCCTGGCAACACTATGGATACGGCCCACTCTGTAAAGATTACAGACGACTCGATCCAGGTCGTTCGTGTGGAGACATGCGAGTGAGGGTATCCTATACAATGAGTTTGTATAAGACCAGACCACGAAATAGGCAATCTTTAGATGTAACACTGTTAACTAATAGGTTGCTATTTCTTAGGATGACCAGACAACTCATTCTCAATCCTTAATGAGTTATGAACTCCTGTCCGTGAGGGCTCGTCCTTTGATCTGTATGGGTGAGAGTGACCCGAGTCGCCGACTCAACATTCCTACCATTTTGGGGACGAGACCGAGTGGGGAGCTGGGAACATAACTTCACAAGATGGAATTCACTCCTCCCCGACTTTAGGAGAGTAGATGAGCGTTCCCTTAAATGCTGACTCCGGGACTTGAACAAGGGGCCCCACCCTCTCATTGGCCGAGAGGGACTTCCGGTTATTGGTTGGACCATAATCGGGTTGTTCATTAGAGGAGCAGTGATGTTTAAGGAGTAAGATGTAAATCAGGGGTAAAACGGTAATTTGACTCAACTTGAGTTAGGAACACTCGTGAAGGATTGACTCGTCATTAATGGTCGTATATCCATAGACACGAAAACATTCTGCAGTGAGAAGAGTGCAACTGCGGGTCTTTAGTGGAATGACCTGTAGTTAACGAATCTAGCTTAACTCGGTCAATGAGTTTGACCGATTAATCTTGCATCGTTGGAGCTTCGGATCTGTAGGTCAATTAGGTCCCCTTGCTAGCTCATAACGAGTAAAACGAGGATCAAGTTTTTGGAAGAATTTGAATTGTTCAAATTACTTAAGGGATTATATGTATATTGATACATTATAATATATAGTTAATTGTAAATTAAAACTATATATTATGAGAGATATTATTTGAATGAGATTCAAATAAAATTAATATGAATAAGATTCATATTAAAACTATAGGTTAAAAATAATGTGCATAAGATGTACATTAGAACTATAGGTTATACGAGAGAAATGTTATAGAATATGATTCTATTTTTTGTGTTAAATAATTAAGTGTTAATTATTTATTTGATCTATATATATATATTAATTATTAGTTGGATTAATAATTAATAATTATTTATTAATTAATAGGATTAATTAATAAAATAATTTTATATTTTAATTATTATATATATGTATTAATTATTTATATATAAATATATATATATATATTATTATTAATATTATTAAGATTAATAATATTAAACTCCCCTGCACAATTGCAGGGGAGTGGGAGGTTAGTGTGATGTGGGGAGTTACCCCACGTCACTGCTTTATGTTTTGTTTTTTTGCAGTTCTGCAAAAGACAGAGGACAGAAGAAGAACTCCCAAGGGTGTTTTCTCTCATTCAAGCTCTTTCTCTCGTTTTTTTTCCCTCTCGTTCCAAAGGATTGCTCCCACCAGCACGATCCCGAGACCCAAGATGATAGCGAGGAAGATCCGGTGGTGGTGTTCGAGGGGAACTCACAGAAGAAACATTCTTCAAAGGTTTGATTTTTCCCCTGTTTTCCTTCTTTTCATTTGGATTTTGTATCCCGAAAATCAGCAACGAAGATCCGCTTCCGCTTCGGGAATCACATCCCTTCATTAGGAGCTTACGATATTTGAACCAATATGTTAGAAACAAAGCTCGGCCTGAATGTTCAATTGCAGAAGCCTACATCATAAATGAATTTTTGACTTTTTGTTCTATGTATTTAAATGAAATTGAAACAAGATTTTATAGAACTGAGTATAATTATGATATCATCGAGGATGTGGAGAACAATGGTGGACTATCGTGGACGTGTACGATTATTCGGTGGTTGACAATTTCAACGCTTGACTTATGATGAGATCGAAAAATCACATTGGTACATACTAAACAACTGTGATGAAGTGGAACCTTACCTTCAGTATGTATCTCTTCCCCGTATAACTTGTATATTAGAATTTGCTATTATGATGAAATTAAGATATATGTTTCATGCTTAGGGAGCATATGAGTCTTCTCCAATCAAATGGACATGGTAATTTGTATAAAAGACAACAATTAGAGTTTCCTACTTGGCTCAAAAAAAGGTCGGCAGATACTTATAGTTATACAACTCTATTTTCTTCAAATATTGCAACTATAAGTTGGTTTATTTGATTAGGCTCAAATCTTGTATCCTGCAAAAAGGATTTTCGATGGGTTGTATGCCTTGGCCCTGAGCCTGAATAACTGTATTCAATCTTATAGTTCGTGTATAGTCAATGAAATTCGAATTCATTAAAAAAAAGCACGATAGTCGTCGAGTTACTCAAAATAGTAGCGTTATGGTCCCTCGGGATGATTAAACTGGACAAATAAATTTATATGGCGAGTTGCATGAAATAATTAGGCTACAATATATTCACTCGAAGACTGTGATTCTTTTTAAATGTGAATGGTACGGTACAAGTTCAAGAAATGCCATAATTAATGTATCTGGTGATTATACATCAATTAATACTCGTTATCAATGGTACAAAGATGAGGCATTCGTCCTTGCAAGTCAAGTAGCCCATGTATTCTACTTAGATGATTACAAACTTGGTCAAGATTGGAAAATTGTTAAAAAAATTCAACAAAGACATGTGTGAGATATTCCATAGGTTGAAAATAATGAAACAGAAGAAGTAGTGACAGATGAAACCATTCGCATATTTTACCTACAAGTTGATGATAACTTGGATCCACAGAGAAAAGATGTTGCACCAACGCCTATTGGAGATGAAGTAGATTTGAATAGTAACGAAAAGACATTTACTGATGAAGAAGAGTTTGATCTGGAGTGTTCTTGCGATGATTCTGTGAGCTCATATTCGAATATATTATTAGATGATGAACAAAGAGATAGTGATAGATAGACATATTCGTAAATGATAAAATTATACGCAATATTTAGTCTTATATTTACAATATTTATGAGTGTGAATTTGTTCATTATTACATTATAAGATGTCGTCATCAAATCATGGACCAGGGAGTCGACGTAGTCACACAACAAACGTTGAAAGAATAGAAAACGCTCGCTAAGAAGACGATGATCACCAAGCACAAAGTATGTATTGATTTAAATGAAAACCCTTTAATTTCAAGTAAACTTAAGTAAATTGATATTTGATATCTTTTATGTAGATTCTGGCGTAGCTAAGAGGAGAGGTAGAGGCAAGAGTCGAGGGATCAATGTCGATGTACATGTCCATGACAAGCCAATTTGTAGAAATAGTTCGAAATTTGCAACTCAAATTGGAATATGTGTACGAAATAACGTTCCTCTGGATGTGCACAATGGTCGTATGTCAAACAAGATGTGAAAAGCGAGATATTAGAAAGAATTTGCGTAAGTTTGTTTTAGTAGCCTTTTTTTTTAAATATTGTTATTCCGTAGATCATTAACATATTCTTTTGGTTATGTATTATTAGAACCACTTCAATCTCGATATCAACGATTCCACTGTTATGTGATACTTGAACCACGTGATTAGTACCAGGTATAAGGACTTTTGCTACAGGTTGCACAAATGGTACAAGGAATTTGATCCCACGAAGTCCAGAAATAACTGACATAAAGATGTATTACTAGATAAAGATTGAAATCGCTTGTGCGATCGTAGGAAATAGAGAAATTCAAGGTATGTACATACTATGATATTTGTAAATATATTTTTTGAATCTATTACTGTATGTTAATTAATTTTCACCGACATTCAATATCATGTACATTACAGAAAACAACTGAAAGGAACACTAGAGTTCGATCGTCTCTACCATACCCTCGTACAGCATGAACTATTGCATTCTTACGCCATGGAGAAAATATTGTATGTATCATTTTTGTGTCAGAACACAATCAATATTTCACTATTCATTACTTTGTTTGATAATTGTGTAGAAAAACAAAGAGGGTCGGAAGGTAGATGACATTGAGCTATTTGAGATTACACACAAAAAAAGCAAACCAGGAGTGGGTGAACTCGGTGGCAAGTAAAAAGCATGTAAGTGAAATTAGTTATTTAATTTTTATATTATTGTGCTTGTACTAATGCTATTTTATGATATTATAGGAACAAATGGTTGAATTGAGAAATGCTCCCGTGGAAGAAGGTGTAGAACCTCCATCATCTCGACAAGTAACTATGCAAGTACTAGGTAAGTGCGTTGCACTTGGATGGCGACCACCAACGTCAACTGCTCATAATGAATGAAATTCCCAAAAATTTAAGAAATCACATAATCAGATCACATAATTACAAGCTATTGTGGAACACAACAAGCTATGATACAATCGCAACAAGGCACAATTGACTCAACAATGACTGAATTAAGTCAATTTCGAGAAATAGTAATGAGGTTAAGCGTCCAATCATCACATGGAACTAGTTCTCAACCGTCCAATGACGCTTAAAAAGGTACACATACATAATATTCATAGCTTATGTTATCTCAATACTTATAATAGATATTTGAATCAATATGTTTTGAATCGTTGTGACTATCCTGCAGTTATGGTAGTCATAGTTGTTCATAGAGCCTGACTAGATATTGATGCATGTACTTTTAAATATGAGTTTTTTATGTAGTTGAATTGTTGTAACTATCCTGCAGTTATGGTAGTCATATATGTTCTTAAAACTTCACTAGATATTTGATGCATGTCATTTTAAATATTAATGTTCGATGTAGTTGAACTGTTATGATTATCCTTAAGTACATTGACAAGGGAGCATTTGTGTTGCTTATATTGTGTTTGCTGTAGTTAATGGGTTTGTATTACGACATTCCCAAACTTTCATTTTGTTTATGGTTAGAGGTTAGATGCAAGGCTCCAAATAGTAAGTAGTTATGTAAGGACGGGCAAAGAGGGAAATTCACCTCCTCCAAGTTCGTTAGTTTTAATTTTTATGCTTTTAAAATCTTGTGTATTGTCTTATGCTTTGTTTGTTTTCAAAAGTCTTGGTTGGGAGAGAATTCATGATTTGTGTTAGCTTAGTGGGCTAGATGTTTTGTGTTTCTTTTACTTCTTATTTAATATTTTTCTAACTTCTTATGTATATCATTTTCTTCAATGGGTGGATAGACATTTTAGTGTGATTTTGAAGCTAATTTGTGGTCTTAGAAGACACTTAGGCTCTTTTAAGACACATAAGTTTATGGTTTTAGTTTATAGTTTACGTTCTCTTTTACACGTTGAAGATAGTTTTAGTTCATGGTTTCATAATTTTGGCCTCCATATCTCACTTAACCATTTTATTTTGCCACTTTTTCATTTCGTACTTTTATTTCTTTATAATTTCCATATATTATTTGATTCATTTCAGGTGTGTAGATCTTGTCCAATCTTGAAGACTACTTTTGTGACAAATAGAAAATTGAAGTTTATATGGGTCGTACTCTTTTGATGTATGTTTTATTTTATTTTTTGGATGTAATGACTGGATAGAGATATTTGTAATTTCATCAATTGACTTTTATTATTCGGAGTTGGATTTATCTTATGTTCCATATTTGTAATTCAATCTTAAAAGTTACTTTTCCAATTCAAATGATTTAGGAGGTTCTTATGAATAAATGTATTGTGGAATTTTTAGGTGCAAATTATTTCAGACATGTAAAAAGGAAGTTAATTGACAACTAATTAAAATAGTCGTTTCAGAACAAGTAATTAGAGATGATTTCAAACCATTTTTGGTGACAAAATGGACCACAGAAAGAACGAATTAATATTATTAGCGACAAGGCTTTGTAGTTGCTCATAAAATCTTCAACGACAAGTACACGTACTTGTCGCTAATAATTATTATTAGCAACTTTTGTTGTCATTGCTAATAAAATCATCAGCGATGAGGATGCAAAGTCACTAATAATATTATTTGCAATGGCTCTTTAAAATCGTTGATAATTTTATCAGCGATGAGGAGAATGTTAGTTAACTCAAAGCTACAAATACAAAGTTTGAATGTTAGTTTTGAATTGGTTTGGTCAAAGACCTAGTTTTTAGGAAGTTGTTGATATTCCTTTTTTAGTTGTAGTCAAGTCTAATTTGCTATTCTTATGGGTTAGTTGAGTAGCTAATTATGTGGAGATAGTTATGTTTATTTTTAGTATCATAGTATGTATTTATATGGAGCACTAATGAATGAAATCATTGCTTCCCCCACTTTCTTATTTCTCTCTCAATAAGTACATCAACAGTGGTATCAGAGCCTTAAATTCTTAAGGGATCTGTGAGTAAGGATTAGTGAGATATTTTCGAGAGAAACTAAGTGATACATCTGTGAGAGTTTTGTCCAATGGAGTTAGGATCAAACAATCTTTCTTCACTGGCTCCACTTGTGTTTGATGGTGAAAACTATCAAGCATGGGCAATCAGAATACAAGCCTACATGGAGGGTTGTGATTATTGGGAAGCAATTGAGCAAGATTATGAAATTGCTCCACTTCCTGATAATCCAACAATGCATCAGATCAAGA